CCATCCGAGAAATGGGTCTTTGAAATTCAGGTGTAACCGAGTCCTTAACAACATTATTAGAGGAAGGTTGCAATAAACCTACATCTGAATTAACTACTTGATACCCGTCAGTTTGGGAAGAAATATTCGATAACCTAGAAGGAGGTGGCCCGGGTGGAGTCATGAAGACATTATTAACAGTACTATTTGCAGGGATCGTCGCACCGTCCGAGGCATCCCAACCCTGAATCGCAGGATGAACAGGAATTAAAGATGATTCGTGTACCCGCGTCTCAACGCTTCCGAACGAAGTAGAAGATTCAATACTAGGTGTCTCAGCTACAACGTCCTCCACTAGAACGACACTACTACCACGCAGTCTATTTCTACGACTTCTTTTGGTTCTTACTAATTTCTTTAGGAACGGCGGCAGTTTAAAGGTCTAGCAATTACAACTATGCCCAAAACTTTCGAATCTGATTGCTTACAATCTAAACTTACAGTTTGTTGTCTCAACTGAATAATATTCTGCCCAAAATCGCACGGAGTTCTTTAAGTAGTTCTTGTTTCCACAGATGTACTGCTCCGTCGGTGATTCGTTGAACAGGGATGACCTCAGTTTATGGGACGGTCCACAGGTACTCCAACTCGATGGTCCCCAGCGCAGCAACAGGTACTCCGGTCAGGTCCGACTGCAATCCGCTGCTTTCAGGTGGCCTTGGCTCCGTGGAAAGTCCTCTCAGTGGCCCAATAACGATGTGGACAATGTGCGTGTGATTCCGGTGGATGGCTTGCGCGGCAGCCGAAATCACCTATCTCTGGTATTCACCCTTCGCTCTTGGAAAACCGCGCCAAAACCCAAGAGAGAGAAGTTGCACTTCCTTGATTTATGTCCACTTATATTACACAAAGTTCAATAAAATAGTTTATAAAGTGTTTAGTCAATTTATTTAAAATACACCCGCGAGCCGGTTAAGTTATTTAAATATACGATGAATCTGACACAATCACTTTCTAACTAACACCCTTTAAAGTTTATTCCTTCTACTGAACTGTCCCTTTTAAACTATCCCTTTTTTTTTAAAACAATCCCACTTTTTTAGGATGTGGGTAAGTTAACCCGTGGAGCGCTGAGGCGCTCTGCTCGTGGTGTGTTGAAATAACTCGAACAGATTTGAGATGGAAAAAAAACTAATTGTTTCGGACGCTGGTTAAAGCGGAATTGGATTGGTGCACTTGGACGCAAATGATGCAATCCGATTGTAACGTTCACAAAAACTTAAGTTTATTGGACAAAGCAACAGACAACAAAAAAAGAACGATGAAATAACTTATACGCGGATTATTAAAAGAAACTTTAACGGCGAGATTAGCGGTTTTCGGGTGTTGATATAAATAGTTAATGCGACAGGTAATACGGTAATAAGGATAAGGACACGGTCGGCTGGGCCGTATTTATATTGTTAGAGGTTCGGCAAGGGGGGGGGAACGGGTACGGACGTTCGAATACGAGCAATTTTGAAAAGGTAACCGGCTATTTCTTAGATTCTAAACACTAATAAGTTCAACTATTTATTCGGATAATTGGCAAATTACTTTTTACAAGAGCGAACTAGAGCGTATGAAATACAAAATTAGTCTTTTCGTTCTGCGCTTGGCGGAGGAGATCTTCGGGTGATGCGGATCGATGCCCCTTCCTCGCTGGATCCTGGATCCTCCCTCAGGAACATCCCTCGTCCAATGGTGGAGGAGTCCACCCCCGTCCGATGTGGGCCCCTTCTCCCGCCTGTGGGCTGTGGTCCTTCCTCAGCCGCGTAAAACTGAAACGGGTGAACTAAACCTAAAAAATGAGGGTCCGAACACGCATATACGGAAAATAAAAAAATGAATATTTCGGCACTTTGAGGACGTAGTATGATTCCTGAGGCATTTAGAAACAAATTTCTATTAGGGTTTGATGCGCTTTGATGCTTAATAAAGCCAGAAAATCAATTTTTGTCGAATTCGGTCCAAAACGGTACAGGTGGCGCCATCTAGCGGCGAGCGGCGGAACTACGAAAAACTAAAATTTCGATTTTCTC